CTCTATGTATAAATAATCTCGGCTTATGCATAAATTATTTGTGGGTGAGGGCGCAATTGCCACATATTATTGACCACGTTATATTTTTTCTGTTAATGTATAACAATGAAAAAATATCTGAATAACATACTCATATATAAAGATAAACAAAATTATATCGAAAAGTGGCATATCTTTAGAGGATGGAAGCGTGGGTGTAAGGTTTGTGACGAATGCAATCACCATTCACACCTATATTGCAAAACATGCAAAAAAGTAGCGAATAGAATATAAAGCGATGTGAATGTGATAATTTTCTAAGGGAATCTCAAATAAATAAATCTGAATTAGCGATTTGATGATATGTAGTTTATCACCACAAGGTCATATGATTTGTATTTGAGTAAAAAATCAAAATTTGATAGTCGTGTACCAAAGAAATTAGCATTAGTTTAGTTGCAGTGTAAACCGTCTTTTAAGTCAAAGCAATTAAGCATCATTAATCAGTCTTTTATAAACTTTATAAATTTACTCCCTTCTCTCAAACGCAGGACTACGTGTCTATACAACTTGCAGGCAGTTCGTCATTTGGCCTCTCATTTGACCCGCTGTCCGTGGGTACGTCCCCAGCAAGTTGTGCGTTTGTGTTTTGTTATCTGGCTATATTCGATTGACGCGGGACTACGTGTCTATGCAGTCTGCAGGCAGCTCGTCACTTTTGCTAATAATTCGACCCGCTGTCCGTGGGTACGTCCCCAGCAGATTTGCGCGTTTTTTGAGAGCCAGTCTTTCATTATTTCTTCGGATGTGGAAAGAACGATGAGTCGATATTGCAAGTAATAGAAAAAAAATTGTAAAGGCTAACTTTTTGCGAGTATAGAAGAAATAAATAGTAAAATTTTTGCTATTTATAAAATTTCAATTTATCTTTTATTAAAATCTCATTATTCGATTGAAAGTGTTCATTAAATTTCTTCCATTGGAATAGTTTTTTGAGAATATTATAGGTTGAAGTCCTTAATTTTTTGTATTCTTTCAGAGATAACTATTTCTGGTTTTTCATCATACCATACTTCAAGTAAGAAAATTCCGTTATCTTGACATATGCATCTTTTTAGCCGATCACAATTAACTATATCCTCGAGCTTTTTGACATCTTTATACCAACTAGTATTATGGAGTCGATGCTGAGCCCCTTGTACCTCTAATGCAATTTGGTGTTTTTGAAAGAAAGCATCAAGTTCTAACCCATTCAGGAAAGAAGGGCGATACTCAATTATTGGTTCCTCGTTAAGAAGTATTTGAGCTACCAAAATACATTTTTCCTGAAATTTACGATTTTTCTTAGATTCTAGTTCTTTTTTAAGTTCATTTATGCTCCATTTTAACTCTGCATTCTCAGTTTTAATTTTGATATTATCCTTTTTAAGTTCAGTAATCTCATCCATCAACTTCGAATCTAATTTATCAATTTCAGGTTGTAGCGATTCAGAGTTTATCCAGGGTTCAAGTCCAGTTCTTTTCTTATATCTTTTATATAACCTGGAATGAAGCTTATCTGACAAAATGCTTGGTAAATCAGTTAATTTGGTGTGCCACTCCAAATATTCAGGAGTTAAGGCTTTATCTATATTATCGTTTTTCCAGGAATCAAGGCCAGTTTCTTTTTTATAACTTTTATATAACTTGGGACAAATTTCATCTATTGAAATACCTGGCAATACAATAATTTT